ATAAAAGGACCAGAAGATACATGTCTATGCAAGCGGAATTTTTCCGGTAACATCAAGTTACGGGGAAGTCTTTCACGTGAGGACGACGTCTTTTACGACAGGACGTTTTTTTCACCGCCAGCTATTAAAAGATATGCCATCGATAGGAATCCCAGTAGTTGGTAGGGAAAACGCAGGACAGAATATTGACCACGTTAGGATTTGAATGTTTTAATCAATACCGGAAACATGTACATGGATGTTGTTGAACTACGAGAGTTTCCTTCTGGGCACTGAATCATTTTTTGATAATCTCATAAGGGGAAGTGAACTTGGCGTACGTTTCGAACGTATTCCATACAGTGTGGATAAGGTCTTGTACCTGATAACCATCATGAAACCCATCCATATGGCTGAATGAATCAGTGGATTGCAGTGCATATGGAATTATGGGAGCTGGCTGAGATAATATTCCTTACTCCCAATTGGACATCTGCTTGGAAAGTTCCAGCCGTATGCAGTAGGCACCCTAATTGGGTCTCTGACTAACGGGACGGATCAAAATGTAGACACACTTGCTGGTCCATGTGTATTTCTCGTTACAAGTCAAGACCCCAGCGAAGACGAAGAGAGTAACTACAAAGTAGCGTAAAATTTATGTGGGCTTTGTTTGTTTTACATTTAAACGGAAAATTTTGAGGATCTTCGTATGCCTTCATTGGTGTGCATCAAAACAGGACCTGAAGTTGTCAGCGTTCTCAGCCTCACTCTCGGTTAGACAGAATCCCTCGGCTTCATACGTCCCGAATTTTTCAGATCGGTCATAGACTGGCATTTACTATGCGCATTGTTTTCCCTGGCGATTCAGTTACAGGCTGTGTAGGGAAATAGGACCTTGTAGTGTTCACCCTGATGTTCGTATAACCTGTGAGCTGTTGAAAGTGTGTCGCAACGGTTGGGACAAACCAACCGACTTCATTCACTCGCCCCAATTCTGACGTCCAGCCATTTGCCAGATATTGTCTATAGGCTCGGATACTTCCATAAATTATCAACACAGAAGAAAGTAGTATAGTAAAACTATTAAAACTACTTCACACACAGACTCACCTGCATCGGTAGATTCTGTTGGGCACGACAAATGTGAATTTGTATGTGAGACGGAATTGAGCATTTATCGAGTATGTCATTCAGAACAATCAAACGGTTATTCAGAAAATTGCCGCACTTCCGAAACGCTCAGACCTGTCAATGATTTCGTTGAACTCTTATTTCTGATACGGTTATAATTTAAGGCTCTGCATCGCGTTACCGTATAGTTTGATCCCACTCGGCAGACAGTGGTCGAAACGGAACAATTGATCTGATGTCAAAACCAAAATGCTTCGACTGAAGCAATCGATTTTTGAGTCCAGTTGGTTGCGGGACTTGTCGCGGTATTCCGGTCCGAATAGCCTCTCTCCTAGCCTGGTGCGATTATTTTGATTAGACCACACATATATAGCAAATATTCAGAACTAACCGGTCGTTTGGTGATGGTTTGAGTAAAGTTAAAACATTTAATCGAGACTAGCTTGTTTCCTCAACACTAAACCTCGGCTGTGGTAGAACATATTCCACTGAACTTCAAGCCTAAATGACGCACCAGAATGGGAATTCATGACAGATGATTTAATCAGCGGCCACATCCAAGGCTGTTCGTTGTTTGAGGTGTCCCCATTGCAGAAGTGCGAACACGTTTGCCCGTAGTGTGTCCGGCGTGAGACGGTTGACTATTGATAACACACTCACCTCGTATGTCATATACCCGCCGTTCGAATCTCAGCATTTCAGAAGACATGCGCTGCTAATGAACTCTACTATGAGAGAAACTCGAGCCCAACACTTTCCCCTCTCAGGGGAGGACTCGCCGAAACAGTTACATTGGGAAGAGAAAAGAACTCTTCCGACGATGGGGATATAAATTCAGTCATGTGTTGCATTTTCCAGTCGGCAACATGCATTGACTTTGTCAAGGTAACTTTTCCAGGATCGGTTTGTCACCACCTTACAAATGCCTATGTCTCTGTCGTGCCTTCGAATCATCGAATCAGTCTTCCAGAAAGGTAAGTTGCTATTGGTGTTGAAACATACGTAGATGTCGATCGGAACCACTGATGTCCACAGCCCTGCATTGTCGGATCGTCCACTTTCATTTCGGCTGGTCGTCATACCTCAAGTGCTGAAATTTTATATAAATGAATGTAACAGGTGTTGACAGTTCCCGGTGCTGATCATTTGTTTATCTGTTTCGCTCCTTCCTTAATTTGATAGCTCAGTCCGTAGCTCGACGAGCTCATTTGTCCACAACCTACGACCAGAAGCCTGTGAGTTGTTGGTCGAACCGGAGGACATCCAGTACTGAACCGGATGACACATTCGCACTCTTGATTTCAAACGTTTGTCGATCGTTTTATTTGATCTGCCTGTGATCATGGTCAACCTTTGGAGGTCAGAGAGTATGGCGTCCGGAGCCTACCCCCGTTGTTTCCACAAGTTTCGCATTGTCACCTGAATAAGACTCATTACTTCACCAAATTTCCTGTTCTAGCCAACCCTCAACCGCTTCGCGCTACAGGCACTCCGGATGCACAAAAGTACCGCTATTTGACTGATTTAACTCCAACCTACATGGTACGGTTAAACCTTGATGGGAAATTTGGTCAAGCGTAGATGACCGTACCATCGCATCATTAAATCTAAAGTACCACATGGTGTCCCTGGAGAGTTCAGGAAGCAGCGCGAAAAACGTTCGATATATTATAAAACTTATTTGAATCTAGGAAAGTAGAAAAGGCACAAGAATCTGAATCTCCATTTGATACACAACTCATGAAACGAAAAAGCTCTTGCAGTTCTCCACCCCACCCCCAAAACACTTTGTGCAGGCAAACAATAATTGCAGGAGACAGGGCATTTCTGTGCTGAGCTGTCGACTCACACGATGCCCAACAACTGCAGACGCCAGGAGTAAACTTGGGACAATAAACGAGAAGAGTAAACCACAGCAAATCCCGTACACCAATCGGGCAAACGTGTAGCTAACCTGTGAGCTACAAGAAAGACTGCACCCCAAGAGACCCATCAGCATGCTGCATTGTTGCACACAACGCTTGTTTGGGAGACGAAAGTGCGGAATAGTAGTAGGGACACCAGTCATTGCCGTCGATTTTTGTTCATCCCTTTGGTAAACTATTTTTCACTTTTTTCTTATCGATCTTATGGGGTTGATGACTCTCTAGAAGACTTCCACACAGTCCTCAAGCTCTATTCACGTCTCTGGTGTTTTCGTACATGCGGTGCAAACCTGTTGGTGTGCACGTGACGTTTCTGACTTGCATTCGTCGGGCGAATGCCGCTTTGTCTCAAAGCCCTTTGGATAGGTCTAACATTTGGCCACGAAAACTACAGTTTTCGAGTTGTATCCGTGAGTACTTTGTGATTTAGAAATAGAGCAAGATGCTTGGAGGGACAGTGAAATTGTGTTAAAGTTGGCGACTCTCCTCCTAACCGTTGTAATTAAAACGTTACCAAGTATCAAACACGCCAGCCCTCAGCTTCTACACAGCGGTACGTGCTTACAGGCGATAACTGAAATAACTGAGGTGTCGCAAGGTAGATTTACGTGAGCTGAACAAAAAGAGGTGCGCACTGAAAAACTGGAATGGAAAGTTCGACAAATTCACTCCTCTGAAGTTTCAGTTTGGTTTTCGCAAAAAAAAATCCACCGAAAACCCAAACGAATGTCTCCTGCATGATATTCTTTAGTTACTTGTCATAAACAGGAAATTTAGCCCGGTTTCCTTTTGCAAATAAGCGTACTAGTTTAACATCGTGTCTTGTGGTCCAAGTGGAACATAAGGTTGATGAAACCTTGATAAAATTACGGCAGTAATCAAACTGGTGTAATGCATTCGGTTTACAATAGTTGTGCAGGACAAACTATAGGATGAATGCTCGGATTAGGAATTCTGAGCAAGCCGAAATGGCCCCGAAGTTTCCCTTAGTGTGTGTATTGTGGGAGCTTGGGACAATATTAAAACGAAACTAGTCATTTGCGCCACTTGTATCAGGGCCCAAACAAAGAATTGCTACTGGTGTAAAGAGGAAAGCCATTCACAGCAGAGTCATGGGATGCACCTTCCATTAGAAGCGAGGCGGAGTTACGGGAAAACGCCATACTGCTCACATTACTCATCAGTAGCATCCGCCGTTATACTGGTGTAGCGGTGATACTGCTGATGGAGAGTCATGCGAGTAGTATGTTTTCTTCTTGTAAATTCGCTTTGCGTCTCTTGAAAAGAGAGATCTATTGCGGAATTTGTGGATTCGAGCAACAGTCAATGAATAGCCAGAAAAGTTCAGGAAGACGCGCTCAAGAGAGGATGGATGTTCAGGTTTTGCAAATAAGATGCATATGAGAGTTTTGCTTCCCTGTCCAACAGTCTGTAACGGTTCATTTGGCATTTCCTGATAAGTAACTCCGCATCGAAGGCCTTCTTCCTGTCACTGGTACTGTACCACAGCATCGGCTGGGCACGGAATGCATGACCTTCACTTTGGTCGATTACCTGCCATAGAGCTGTGCCTCAATAGTTCACCGTGAGAATATTATGTAAGCCATAAACACTACAGGTGTCAGCTAAGTAAGCTTTGTCAACAACCCCCGAGAAACAGGTCACTGTGGTGTGAACGCCGGAAGATTGTGTGTGAACTTCCGAATTCAAAATGATCTGAAAGACCATTCCTTGGATGCACGTTCAACATCTTCGGACTGGACCGAACCAGCTGCAGATCAGGGAGATATCAAACGGAGGAGGCACCGGACAAAAACCGACAAAAACAGTGGACACATCTGGACTGGAATGAGTCGAGATATGGATAACGACACTCCTGGAACCATTTTGGAAGTTTTTCAAGAAGTGATCCCCGGAGACCGAGGGAGATATAAACACCAAACATGCATTTCAGATATCACTTACGTTTTACCGCTACTGTCCGTTCAAAAGTGTAAATCGGTGTTCCTTCGGGCGTTGAAAACGCACACGACACTTTAAACGAGCTCGGTTGGTTTTGGTAACCTTGTGAATTTGGAGGTCCTATCTTCGCTGAGCTACCGTCTTCCAACTCCGTAACGGTTGCCGCCCCAACTGGGTCCACAGTAGCCTTCCATTTTCCGTTTAAGGATTTCGCAGCATCCAGTGGAACCAAGTCGCACTGAAATTCCTTGGTGGAGCCCGATGTTACCTCCGGGTTTCCACTGTTTTCGCCGTCCAACGTTCCGTCCAGCGGGTTGGCTGTTGGTCGCAAAATGAGCATTCAAATATGTTTTTGAAGGTCACATATATGAGCGCCTTTCGTACACCTATATATATATATATATATATATATATATATATTGAATTCGGCTCATATTTGCACTCTACGGATGTGGACCCGTACTTTGTGTAGGTCGCTCCCGAAGCCGGTGGCTTGATTTTGTGGGCGCTAGTCTCAATCGAGACGAGGTCCGTACGGCTGTTCAAATCCTTGATTGCCAGCTGCCCTCCTGAAGCACCGTTTTCTCCCTCCTCTGTGGTACATGTGATTTCTGTTTTATTTCCGACATGCAGTATACCGTCGGGAGAATCGAACTTTACTGCGACTACTCCACGTGCTATCAGTAGTAAATAAACACAACGTGAATTGTTTCATTGGATAAACGCATGCTATGGTATGAACACACACACACACACATTCATATTTGATAAATATGTGAAATCAGTTTCCTTGGCTTGCTGACATCACGAAAAATACCAACAGGTATTTGTACTATTCCTCTGAACGCCTTTTTTCGATACCTTGTTGTCACGATTCCAGAAGTTTCGCTTGTTTCAAAGTGTACCCCATAAACTTTTATGATGGGGAAAATTCGAGCGATATTTTGAAGGTACCAATAAATTCACTCAAGATAATGCCTTCCTGTTTCAATGGATTTAATTCCAACACCCAGGGAGATGAACGTTTACTACCCCACAAAGTAGGTCTTTCAGCTTCGTAGGATTATTACTGTCCATTACGAAAGTGGCTTGGCCATGTTCCTACAAGCAATCCCGTTTGTAGCACGCGTCACTTGAAAGGCCAAAGAAAACAGAGGCTCCAGTGAATGCGCTTGCAAAAAATCGCAAAATTAATTTCTTTCTCGCCCGGAAATCCACACAAACCCTGTTAAGTCAAAAGTGCATGCGATCGGGGTGGAATGAAAGCTAGCAAACTTATAGCACCTAACCAAATACAGGACTGTAGATTATGAATGAAAATGGGTCTCGCTTTCGAGGTTTTCTCTCTCTCTCTATCCACACTAGTATATTCGTGAATGCCAGAGGAATGTACACAATTTGAATCTTGCTCTTTTCAGTACTTTTAGCCATGCACACTCATGGCCAGCCACATGGCTTTAGCTTGTTCGGATTAGCTTGTTTACACAGGATAACTCAGATGTTTCTACTTTTTCCTGGTGGAGTAGGGGTAAGGCGGTCACCCGGCAACTTCTGGAATGGCCTAAAATGCCTTGCTAATAAGCTCCACTAGATGGGGTGTTCGAATCTGGCGCTTCTACTTTTTGGTGTACACTCATCACGGTGAACGTGTCAGGACAAGATAAGAACATGATATGAACGTCATTCATAAAAGAGCGATTCAGCTCAATTTCGGATGATATTATCGTCAATACCGAATTGATATGCAGGTGAGTGTGTCTGTCAATGCGGAGTTAAGTAGATCATAAGGTTGACGGAAACTCGTGTACTGCGCCTACCTGATGAGCCCCAAGTGGAAGGACGAAACCGGTCGTGGGCTGTCCAAGAGTTTTCAGCAACCTTTAGAGTAGTGTATTGCGTCCATACTGGGGGAGATCTGTTTAAACAGCTGTACACGGTACAAATGAGAAGCCCCACATTTTAAGTTGTTTTGTCAAGATCCACGAAGCAGTGGCGCATGCTGACCGTTTTCCGGATACACTGAATGAAGCTCACCTTCCACACTCATTCTATGGTTGGAAGCACATATGTTTCTATAAGCAAGTGAATGTCTTCTATCTGGATGGCAATTTGTTTGATAGGATTGTCAACAACTCGTCTTTGACGCTTTCAACAACAATGAGGCAATCTACTCTCAACAAGAGAGCATGATCGAATGATTATCACGTTTAGAACGGATGTTTTAGTGAGGTGTATCTTGCCAACGGACTCGCAAATATACAAGAGTCCACAAATCAATAATATGATAAGTAAGTCAGAAACGTAACACTGTAATCGGTTGGCTGGGATAAGTACAAATTAAAACCGGTTCGTAGTCGCGTGTTGCATACATATCACCGAGAATATTCGGCTTCATCGTTTCAGTGTGTGCGTGGCGCGCACTGGACGCCCCGCTGTGGTTGGACATCTAGAGCAAGTGGATCTGAAAACATTGAATTAGTTTTCCGATGCAATGGCGTCAGCGTTGTTCAATGTTCGGGAATAATGGGAGTTATAGACCGACCTTTTAGACGACATATTTACCTGCTGGCTTGTACTTGTTAGCAAAACCTTTAGGCTGGCAAAGCTGACTGAGGTCCGCCAGACAGTGGTCTGGTCATCGTTCTGCTGAAATGATGAACCCACAGAGCATGCAAGCTGACAGACTCAAGTTGAGGTAGTCGGACGAGGTAGGTCAACCTGACATCTTTTGCCAGATCATAAGGTAGCTGGTAAGGGTCGTGTGTAGGACAGCCACTCTATAAATGTTGTAGAGTCTTACGTGAAATACTGACTTACAGTGTCTCCTTTCTATGGCAGACGCTGCTAGGTAGGATTCGGTAACACTGTGGTTGTGAGGTAGCTTGTGGTGCTTGGTTTCTGTTATATCTGCTGATTCGCCGACCTGTGGTATCTGCTGCTGACCAGCTTCATTGCCCAGTGCCTGAAGGAAAGACTTACAGAAGGGAACACAACAGCCATATTCCGCACAATCGAGTGCGAGAGCAAAAGTTACAACGGCTCCACGTTATTTAAAGGAGACTTTCTGATATTGATCCAGGCTGTCTGATGTGAGCACCCATCAACATCGATCGTGCCTCAGTGGAATGCCTGAACGCTGATCACATTCGGTCGTGCTTCTGTGGCGTGCATGAGGACTCATTGGCTTTTGCTGAATTGATTGAATGATTGACTGGTCTGGATGCTTGCCGACTTTCCTTTTGAGATTTTGGTGGAGCAGTAGGTTTTAGAGGCGTTCTGAGGTTACATTCAGGAATCTGACCTTCTTGATAGTTTCACACTTGTTTTCGACACGAAACCGGGAGGGGACGTGTATGGCTGAAGTTTCATGAGAGCCCTACTGCTTTGCCTTAACGTAGCTTTAATACCTACTTTTGTTGTTACGTTCAAAAGGTACCCCACACATCTTCTCACCAACAGGATGGTTCTAGAACGGGTTATACCGCGCATCCAATTTTGTTCCCGTTTGAAACATCTGTATTATGGTCCCACTCGTGCGGCGGATCAGCAGTATATCTGGATTTTGATAGATTTGGTAAATGCATCCAACGTCAAAGTTGGTTCACTTTTGAATAAAAGACAAGTCACGTAACACCTAAGTATCATACATTAAAATCCAAAGAAGATATTGCTATGTTGGATGCAACAATTTCTAGTTTAGTCAATAAAATATCGGCCGGAATTAGGCTCAGGGATAACCAAATGGGGGTTTCCGTATTCAAAACAGTTAGCTGATGTCAGTTAATAAAGATCCCCCTTGCACGCTGAGTGTCAGATTAATATTACTTATAAACTCCGTGACTTTTAGCACAGCATTTCTCTAACCGTTTATCTCCATTTCTCGAACGACTGCAAGGTGCCATCAGATGATTACAAATCATTTCTACATTCAGCAAAATTGTACTTGGCAGTAAAAGCTTCCAAGTATCGAGTAAACAACATGAATACAGTATTTTTTCCCTGAGGAATTTCGTCAATTACACCCATTCCCCGTCATGTGATTTCTCTTAGGGCTTAGTATGATGACTACTCATGAGTAGTGGCAGAGTTTCCATCCGCAGAACGTGCTTGGACAGTCTTGATGCGATTACCGAATAGGTAATCAGTGGACAGAGTAAAAACATTAAGAAAACTATGGGCGATTCTAGGGATTATGGCTGTTTGGCAAGCCGTGGTCTACGGGTTCTCGTTCTGTTGTATACTACTCTTGTAACACGCCTTTCTGCAGAGTCTGTGCAAATTTCGTTGTTAAACGGAGCTTTGTAGTATCACAAACAAACAAATCGGCATTGGACGGCTCACATCGCTTATACATTCAACAGAGCCGCGATTTGCAAGCAAGGCATGAACAAGTGTTTGAACAACGGGAACCGTGCATAGGGTGTCAAGCTATGGTCGGCGGTTGAATCTTTGTCAAGCCATGGAATATTCGTTTCAGTTGTTGGCATCGTCTCTGTTAGCCCACAACTGGAACGTCAAACTATCACACAGCATCGAATACACATGTAAGAGATATTGCAACCCGTTTCTTAAATGCCGTTTGCCAATTATATTTCTCTAACATAACTATACAACGTGATAGTACAATCAAAGTGGATGATTATTATGAGATATCTCCTGCTCGGTGGCTGTTCCAGTAAAAGCCACTTGAAAGTGTTTTCATGTGAATCAACAAAACTCTTGCTCACTAAACATACCCGAGTCCGCTGAGTCCAGGTGGTGAAGAATCACTGTGGCCAAGATAAGTATGCTCATGTGTTTCCAAACGTTTGACTAAACATCTCCCTTGGATGACACAGTCTATTTATACTCTAAAAACCAGGTTCCACAGCAATTATGAAACAAGTCTATCAAGGCGTATTTTGCAGACATGACTGTTTATCACGTAAGAACAGCTTGAAGAAGCCACCCTACTGGCATGAGTGTGTCACATGCAAATATGGTACTTCATAGCTTCAGAGGAGGTATTCCAGGGGTGTGGTAACCACCAAATCTTTCAATTTATCAACTAATTTCACCGCACAAATTTTAGAAAGTCAGCGTAAACACAGAATCGCGCTTGTACACGGTTTGGGTGTGATCTGTTTTGCAGTCGTTCACTGGCACTCTTTTGAAATGTTTACACTTTTGACTTTATGCACCACATTTCGACTCTTGTGATCTGGCTGGAACTGAAAAGTCACCTTGAGCATTCAGGTCTCTGGATAAACTCATTCCTTGATATATTTGATATTATATGTTACGTGTATTACGCAAACAAATTCACATGTAAAGAATCCTTTTTGATTCGGATAATCTTGC